GTGCCAAGCTATTACGACTCTATAGCACTGGGATGGGATCAGGATAAGGATTTGGGCTGGGACGGGGGAGGGGGGGGGGAGGAATGGTGTCCAACCACTTGGACGGTCTGGGATTGAACGCCGACCTCAGTGACCCGAGACCCTCGCTCTACCGTCCACCCCAAGTGGCTGGGTATGTTGTTGTTTAAGATTCGCTATTTTGAATAAAAAGTTCCAAGTAGCACGGGCTATGGTGAGCCCGTTGTGAACTTACCTAGCACAGGAGCGGGGCTGTAACTAGGCTGGGTATGTTGTTATAGATTCAGCTACTGGGAACAATATGTATAGCACAGGCTATGGTGAGCCCGTGGTCATTACGGGCTATTCATGCCCGTGCCACCTCTTGGGTGGCTTAATCTTTATCAATCAATCAATCATCGATAGAGTGAGGTGCCAGAACGTGATTGTGTGTGTTTGCTACACTGACTTGTGTGGGCTGATTGATTGATTGATGAAGATTAAGCCACCCAAAAGGTGGGACGGGCATGAATAGCCCGTAAGTGGTGGGGGCCCTTTTGAGCCATTACCAGTATCAATAGGTGATTGTTTTAAGCGTGGGTTGGACATGTTTATATGAGTGGGATTGGCTGGTTATAGATAGGAGCTGCCTCATATGAGCCAATAGGCCTTCTGCAGTTATCTTATGTTCTTATGATACTGGATATCTGTGGAGGTGCGACTGCACCCTGCGTGACAGGAGATGTCTCCCGTGTGTGGGGGGGGGGGGGGGGTGGCTGTCTGTGTGCATATCATTAACCAACTGAACCATGAGCCATCAGCTAATTCCTCCCATTATGATGTCAAGTAACCCGTTGTTGTTGTTATAGATTCAGCTACTCGGAACACGTTCCAAGTAGCACGGGCTATGGTGAGCCCGTAACTTACCTGGCACAGGAGCGGGGCAAGTAGCACGGGCTATGGTAAGCCGGTAACTTACCTGACACAGGAGCGGGGCAAGCAGCACGGGCTATGGTAAGCCGGTAACTTACCTGGCACAGGAGCGGGGCAAGTAGCACGGGCTATGGTGAGCCGGTAACTTACCTGGCACAGGAGCGGGGCAAGTAGCACGGGCTATGGTGAGCCGGTAACTTACCTGGCACAGGAGCGGGGCAAGTAGCACGGGCTATGGTGAGCCGGTAACTTACCTGGCACAGGAGCGGGCAAGAAGCACGGGCTATGGTAAGCCGGTAACTTACCTGGCACAGGAGCGGGGCAAGCAGCACGGGCTATGGTGAGCCCGTAACTTACCTGGCACAGGAGCGGGGCAAGCAGCACGGGCTATGGTAAGCCGGTAACTTACCTGGCACAGGAGCGGGGCAAGCAGCACGGGCTATGGTAAGCCGGTAACTTACCTGGCACAGGAGCGGGGCAAGTAGCACGGGCTATGGTGAGCCGGTAACTTACCTGGCACAGGAGCGGGGCAAGTAGCACGGGCTATGGTGAGCCGGTAACTTACCTGGCACAGGAGCGGGGCAAGTAGCACGGGCTATGGTGAGCCCGTAGTGGACGGGAGATGTCTCCCTCCTAGTAACCCGTCTCGTGCTGCTCACTGTTAAGCCAGTTCCTATTCACAGTTCTAGAAGTCAGAGCCAATTTGGCTTATTGTTTTTGTTTTTCGTCAGCGAGGACATTGTAAAATTCTTAGCTCTTTTCTTGAGGTTTTCAAACTTTTTTTTTTCAAGACATAAGACAGGTTATAATTATTAAAAACACTTATTTATTATTAACATCTTTATTGACAAAATTAATTACAATTTTGCCTAATCTGAGGATTTTGATAAAGCCTTATTAAAGCGAGGACAATGTTGGTATTCACTGTCACGCAGGACAGAGGGTCATCTTGAGGTTATCTTGAGATGATTTCAGGGCTTTAGTGTCCCCGCGGCCCGGTCCTCGACCAGGCCTCCATCCCCAGGAAGCAGCCCCTGACAGCTGACTAACACCCAGGTACCTATTTTACTGCTAGGTAACAGGGGGGGCATAGGGTGAAAGAAACTCTGTCCATTGTTTCTCGCAGGCGCCTGGGATAGAACCCGGGACCACAGGATCACAAGTCCAGCGAGCTGTCCGCTCGGCCGACCGGCTCCCTCATACATAAAAAACATTGACACTTGATTATTTCAATTTCAATTCAATTTCTTTGAACACTTTGCGTGTTCTTTGTCTTTCAACCCCCCAAAAAAACATATTATTAGGGTGTGGTTTGTCACGTATAAAGTAGCGCTGGATGTTGTGGGTTGAATATCTATAATATCTAGTTGTGTTGTATTTTAATTGCATATTTTTACATACTGTTTTTATGGTTGGTGAATCTAACACGCAGTAGAGGGGGGGGCCGCGGAATTTGTTCTAAGTAGCACGGGCTATGGTGAGCCCGTAGTGGACTTACCTGGCACAGGAGCGGTGCTGTGTGTGGTTTAGAATGGTTTACATGTAGGTTTAAATTGTGGGTGTCATGGCCATGTGGGTTTGTTTACCTCCTGCCGGTGGTGGTGTAGGTCACGGCTGCTGACGGAACCTCTCGCCATTGGGACAGAAAACTCTTTGTAAGCTGTGATGCAAACAATTTTGTGTACATGTATTAATACTAGTACATAGGAACGACACTCGGAAGTGTATTTGGGTATTTGTACAGCGGTGTTCAGAGGTGTATTTGTACAAAGGTGGTCCCCGTGTTGCTGTACGATTCATTCCACCTGCAAGACGGACGGACGGACGGACGGACGGACGGACACACACACACACACACACACACACACACACACACACACACACACACACACACACACACACACACACACACACACACACACACACACACACACACACACACACCCACCATTTTCTGTGAAGTCCACCAAATAATGTTAATGGCTGTCTGCCCTATTTATCATAAGTACATTCTGTTCAGAAATTTCAATAAATTAGAGGAATTCTTGATAATTTTCTAACGTTGGGGAAGAGGGGGAAAGTTTATTTCAATTTTCCATGGGTAAATACAGAAAGGGGAAAATAAAAAAAAAAAACTTAACGTGAACTTATGCTGAAACCAGTTAGCTGTAATTTTAAAGTGAAGGGAGACTCGCCAGCGCAAACAATACACGCGTCTGACAACTGTATTTAGAACCTAAACATTGTTTATAGAGCATGATTGGAGAGGTCAGCCAGTGGACCTTTCTTCGTGCAGTTTGTAACAAGGAGTATTTTACACTGGGGGTGGGGGGGGGGGGAGGGGAGAGGGGGTGCTGTTGTTGTTGTTATTGCCTTACTGACGCGGATGACGCGTGTTGCTGACGTCACCAGTGGCTTCTGACGTCAGCTGGCGTCCGGTAAAGGCTTGTGTGTTATCGGTTTGGTTATCGTGGTGGTTGTTTCTAGTGTGGCGCCTGGGGGATAAGGGGGGGGGGGGGTTATTTTGGATGATGACCCTTGGAGAGGCTTTTGGGTCGGAGGGAAGGCAGGACACTCATACACTCACTCACTCATACACTCACTCATACACTCACTCATACACTCACTCATACACTCACTCACACACTCACTCACACACTCACTCACACACTCACTCACTCACTCACACACTCACTCACTCACTCACTCACTCACTCACTCACTCTAACAGGTATAGGAAAACTGGTATGCTGATGGAATTGGGTGTAGTCTTATAGTGTATGGGGGGGCAACATGTATCTTTCAATTCTGATTCTTTCTTTTGTTATGCACCCCATACCCATCGTGTTTGCGGTGGTGCTAAGGGCTACAGAGACACGTAGTGGGTTCCGGAACTGAATCCCCCACACCTGTGTACCAAAGTTCCTCGCCACGCTGGAGTTATCGCCTCCCTGTGTTATCGTGTCATCCTAATCACTTCATAGGCCTATATTTTGATTTATAATTATGTGTATATAGTCTCGTTTTTCTCCTTCCTTCCGGATTGTACTGTGATCTTAACGGTGCGCTGGCTGCTGAAGTCTTACACGGTCACTGTGATCTTGTTAACGGGACCCCATTATGTGCCTCTGTAACCCTTTTCTCCCACAGCCCACGGGATGGGTATGGGGTGTCTCTCTCTCTCTCTCTCTCTCTCTCTCTCGAGAGAGAGAGAGAGAGATCGAGAGAGAGAAAAGAGAGAGAGAAACAGAGAGAGAAAAAGAGAGAGAGAGAGAGAGAGGGAGGGAGGGAGGGGGGGGGGGGTGGTCGCCAAGGGACCCTCGGTTTTGAAGAGGAGGATATGTAGCATCCGGGGGAGCCGTGTGTACTTGAGTCGAGTACTCGCATTTCTACCACCCCCTATATATTGTATATTTTATAACTTTATTTAATGTCAAACTTTTATTACACAAAATAGTTTACATGCATGGTACAAGGCTAGTTGTCACAGGTTATATACTGTATATGTATCGCTCATATATATAATATATATAATATGTCCTCTTAATGTTAATTTTTTGTATAAAATCAGATATGTAACTGTATAACCTTGCATAATAAAGTGTACACTATAAAAAAGGGGGGTGGTAGGAGAAGCGAACACTTACGTATTCAGAGTTAAATGGCAAGTTTTTCCCTGAATGCTCTGTGTTCCCTTCTCTGAGGCTGTGGGTCCCTATAACTGCACCAGTGGTGGTACCCCCCTAATATGTACATGCATACATGCAGGAATAATCACAAAAAACACGTGATTCAGTTAGGTGTTTTAACTGTATAAAAAATTATCCAGTTATCTACGTAGAAAACTAAAACTAAAATGTCGAACGTTTTAAATGTTTCAACACATTATCAATGAATACAACGAATACATTCTTTGATAAAATGGGTTGAAACACGAAAACGTTCGGAATTTTCGCTGTATTTTGTCGTATGTGCAATGGTTTTTCCCCTTCTGTCGTGTAGAGTGTAACAGTGTTGAGTGTATGTCGTATGGTTTAAGTATTTTGACCGTGTTTTTTGTTTTCTTCTAGTGGGAAGCCGCAACGATGCAGGTTGCAGACCGCAATGTCCGCTTTGCAATGGAGAGCATCAGGTAAGGTCCCTTCCCCTTCCCATCCCCCCCTTCCCATCCCCCCTTCCATTGCAACATGGTAGGTGGTCAGGTAAAGTCAGAGGGGAATTCTCTTTTCATCTCTCTTAAGTAAATGACAAGTCCAGATAAATAGTCTATCTTGTATGCCTTTCATTTTCTCTCTCATCTCGTTCATTCGTATCTATCTCACCGTTTTCCTTTTAACTTGTTTATCTAAGGTTGAGAGTATATAGAAGCTCCTGCGCTTTTAATATATTAAAAGTCTAATTTCAAAGTAGTTTTCTTTTGTAGTCTTAGCACTAATTAGTAGCTCTAACGAGACCAGGTTATTAGATGCTAATTAAAGTAGCGATTGTTGAAAGGTTGTGTAAACGTAGACTAATATAACACTATGTTATATAGTTATATTATAACTATATAATATATAGTTACAACAACATTATATTATAACTATATGTTATATTGTGTGACGAGCTTCTGCTGGGGGAGAGTAGAGAATGTGGTCAGTCGAGCAGTTTTTTTGTTTTTTTTCTACCACAGACGTGGCCACACATTTACAATGCTAACTAGCATATATACATTTTCTTCTGTCCTTCATGGACAGGGTCGAGCAGTGAAGGACGATATCATGTTGGCTTTGGCATCTGTGGAAAATGATTTGGTGCCTGAGACCATAGTGGGACTTCCATTACTCTATTACTGTGATGGAAGCTTGGCTTGACCATTGGTGGCATAGTCAATACAAGTGGTTGAAGAAAAATGGTGTAATTTACGCTTCTTGAGGTTATCTTGAGATGATTTCGGGGCTTTTAGTGTCCCCGCGGCCCGGTTCTCGACCAGGCCTCCACTCAATTATTGAGTGGAGGCGCTATATCAATCATTAATATTATTTTACACCATTCACAATGACGTGGTTAAAAATTAGACGTCCACCCCACACAGCCCAAAAGTAAGAAAGTGGCGAGGTTTTGGTCCGTCCTGAACCCAAACTGTATCATCGAGAGCTTGTTGGTAAAATGGATTCATTTTTTTCAGTTGTATATGTTTCTATTGGTACATATTTTCTGTCTTAGCTAGTTGTAAATATATGGAAGGGAGGTGTTTGTTGTTACGTGTACAATGTTTTCATAGGTCTGGGGGGGGGGGTGATGAGTGTGGTGGGTGCGTTGTAAGGTGCGAGGAGAAGCACTCTTCACATGATCGACTGTGTGTGTGTGTGTGTGTGTGTGTGTGTGTGTGTGTGTGTGTGTGTGTGTGTGTGTGTGTGTGTGTGTGTGTGTGTGTGTACTCACCTATTTGTGCTTGCGGGGGTTGAGCTTTGGCTCTTTGGTCCCGCCTCTCAACTGTCAATCAACTGGTGTACAGGTTCCTGAGCCTATTGGGCTCTATCATATCTACACTTGAAACTGTGTATGGAGTCAGCCTCCACCACATCACTTCCTAATGCATTCCATTGTCAACCACTCTGACACTAAAAAGTTCTTTCTAATATCTCTGTGGCTCATTTGGGCACTCAGTTTCCCCTGTTTCCCCTTGTGCGTGTGCCCCTTGTGTTAAATAGCCTATCTTTATCAACCCTGTCGATTCCCTTGAGAATCTTGAATGTGGCGATCATGTGGTGGTGTGTGTGTGTGTGTGTGTGTGTGTGTGTGTGTGTGTGTGTGTGTGTGTGTGTGTGTGTGTGTGTGTGTGTGTGTGTGTGTGAGACAAGTGTGATGACAGACGGCCGCAGGTATGAAGGAGGCTGGGCTCTCACCTGTGTGTGACCTTGAGTTACGGAAGGACAATAGCGGGGGACACGTTAGCCAAGACCTTCCAATATCTCGCTCACCCTTGTCTGTGTTCACTGCCGCCTCTATATTTATATTTTGTCATGTCCACCCCGTGTGCTCCTTTGTTCGTTATCCTGGTCTCCTACGCTATATTTATCTGCCCGAAACGCTTTGCGTAATAGTGGCTTTAGGCATTGTATGTACTAGCTCTATCTATTAATCCAACAAACTTTGTAAAATCTCTTGTATGTATGTACCTTACCTAAATAAACATTTATTTATTATTATTATTTATTTAATGTATAAATTAATTCAATAACGGGAGCCGGTCGGCCGAGCGAACAGCACGCTGGTCTTGTGATCCTGTGGTCCCGGGTTTGATTCCGGGCGCCGGCGAGAAACAATGGGCAGAGTTTCTTTCACCCTATGCCCCTGTTACCTAGCAGTAAAATAGGTACCTGGGTGTTAGTCAGCTGTCACGGGCTGCTTCCTGGGGGTGAAGGCCTGGTCGAGGACCGGGCCGCGGGGACACTAAAGCCCCGAAATCATCTCAAGATAACCTCAAGATAACCTGACCTACTGGTCAATGAGCAAGTGGTATGTTTCGAGGCGTCTGATTGTTCAGATCTAATTTAATATGTAATGGTTTTCATATTTATATAAATTATGTATTTGTTAAGAATACATAATTTATAACCACGGTGCTTATTGTAAATTGTTATCTTTTAAATTTGTATGCGGTAAAGTAGTATGCTACATAAGATTAAAGATTATAGTATGTCAGCAGAAAGACTATGTTGTTGTTGTTATAGATTAAGCTACTGGGAACAAAAAGTTCCAAGTAGCACGGGCTATGGTGAGCCCGTTGTGGACTTACCTGGCACAGGAGCGGGGCTGTAACTTTTGTGTTGAGAAAGACCTATTAGTTTATCTGGGTCCGGCCAAGTCGTACTCAGGTGTTTTGACAAAAGCGCTTTTTTTCTAATGGTAAAAGCCGTATATATATCGTTAAGTAGAGTACGGATAAGCAGGTTTTTAAAATTAGTTGGGTCACGCAGCGACTTGTAACGCGTTGATCTATATCGGTGGAGTGGTATATTCGTCGACGAAATACTGCCCAAACGCTTCCACCCCTTCTTGTATCTACCTGGTTGATTGGTTGATGGGGTTCTGGGAGTTCTTCTACTCCCCAAGCCCGGCCCGAGGCCAGGCTCGACTTGTGAGAGTTTGGTCCACCGGGCTGTTGCTTGGAGCGGCCCGCAGGCCCACATACCCACCACAGCCCGGTTGGTCCGGCACTCCTTGGAGGAATAAATCTAGTTTCCTCTTGAAAATTACTAGAAAAATGACTTGAAAATGACTTCCTCTTGACTCTCTTCTCTTGATAGTTCCTTCCTGTGGCTGACTCAACTTTCAGCATCGTTCCATTCACCAGGGCTCTATGGGGAGACTTTATTTTCAGGCGCTTTTATTTTGTTAGGATCACTCCTTAACTCCTTGACTAGTTTATATTTGTGATATTTAAGCAAGATACCCCTAAGCCCCTGGGAGGGGGGTGGGGGGGGGGGTTATGGAAGAAAACCTGTGAGCAGCCAGCTGTGTGTAACAGCTTGAGCAAGATGAGCTTTTTTCCCAGACGTCTGCCGCGGGGCATTGTGACGTACATCCCCTGGCATTCTTGCCCTTCACACACACACACACACACACACACACACACACACACACACACACACACACACACACACACACACACACACACACACACACACACACACACACACAGACAGAGAGAGGCGGGATCCAAGAGTCAATGCTCGATCCTGCAGACACAACTAGGTGAGTACACACAGTTGATTGAGAGTTGAGAGGCGGGACTAAAGAGCCAAAGCTCAACCCCCGCAAGCACAAATAGGCGAGTACACGTACACACACACACACAACACACACACACACACACACACACACACACCACACACACACACACACACACACACACACAGACAGAGAGAGGCGGGATCCAAGAGTCAATGCTCGATCCTGCAGACACAACTAGGTGAGTACACACAGTTGATTGAGAGTTGAGAGGCGGGACTAAAGAGCCAAAGCTCAACCCCCGCAAGCACAAATAGGCGAGTACACGTACACACACACACACACACACACACACACACACACACACACACACACACCACACACACACACACACACACACATACGCCCGTACCTTGTCAAGCACAAGACGAAGCTGGAAAAGTCCAAAGGTATGCTACTAGACTAGTCCCAGAACTAAGAGGCATGAGTTATGAGGAAAGGCTGCGGGAAATGCACCTCACGACACTGGAAGACAGAAGATTAAGGGGAGACATGATCACAACCTACAAAATCCTCAGGGGAATCGACCGGGTAAACAAGGATGAACTTTTCAACACTGGTGGGACGCGAACAAGGGGACACAGGTGGAAGCTGAGTACCCAAATGAGCCACAGAGACGTTAGAAAGAACTTTTTTCAGTGTCAGAGTAGTTAGCAAATGGAATGCATTAGGAAGTGATGTGGTGGAGGCTGACTCCATTCACAGTTTCAAATGTAGATATGATAGAGCCCAATAGGCTCAGGAATCTGTACACCATTTGATTGACGGTTGAGAGGCGGGACCAAAGAGCCAGAGCTCAACCCCCGCAAGCACAATTAGGTGAGTACAATTAGGTGAGTACACACACACACACACACACACACACAGAAATACGTGTAGTAGACATAAGAGGAAAATAAGAGTAGGGTCCAAGAGCTAATAGCTCGAGTCTGCAGACACAGTAAATACACACACACACACACACACACACACACACACACACACACACACACACACACACACACACACACACACACACACACACACGCACACGCACACCCACACACACACACACACACACACACACACACACACACACACACACACACACACACACACACACACACACGCACGCGCGCGCGCATACACAATAGTGACAACATGACAGATTGTGGATGGCTGTGAAGTGCATGATAACGACAACCCAGCAACCGTGAGAGAGGCAGTGTAACAGTGTAACGCGAAGATATCATAAACCAGGTTTTATTTATAATTCTAAGTCGTTATACTTTCGTATAACGTTTAAGTCGTATACTTTCATTATCAGTATAATAGTTGCTAGTGGCTTTAATACTGTACCTCCCAAGTAACTACTGT